AGCAGGAGGAACTCTATGATGATGTGGATCTGCCAGATGTGCCTGTGGTAAGGTCTCATGGCTGGAGCACCCAGCATGCTTGCAGAGATGCTTGTGGCCTGCAGGTAGCCATGCTGTTGCAGTGAGCTCTGCAGAGACTGAGTTTTGCTAGCAATGCAACAGAAATCTTCAGCGGTCAGGGTCAGAGGTGGCTTGAATCAGGGAGGCATCTGTGAGTCACAGGCAGACATCTCTTGGCTGGGGGGAATGAGACTCCGGCAGTGAAGGGAGAGGTTTTTTCCAAAGCCTCAAACAGCTGGTGGAAAAGGGAATTCCCAGCCTGTGGGAAAATTCAGACTTTTGCAACAGGGCAGAGGAAGGTGCTGGTGGGGAATTGCTGTGGAGGGCGAGAGAGTTTTCCAGGGGGGCTCTGGAGGAATCCTTAATAACTCAGTTGAGATGAAATTTCAGTCAAAGTCTGCAAACAGCAAAAGTTGATAGGAAGGTAGAGAAGGATGAGGATAGAGCTGTCAGAATGAGTGACATGGATTATTTGGTGATAGTAGGTTGTTTGGAGGCCATTCTAACAAAATGCCTCCTGATGCATATGAGAGCAAGTCCCATACGTAAGGACAAGAAAGGCAGGCCACGGGCAGAGAGGATTACCCTGGGGAAATGCAAAGGATCTGGCAGGAGGCTTTGAGATGTACAACAGCATGATACCCTAGAGAGATGCTGGTGCAACCTTTGGAAAGATCTATTGAAGGAGAGCAGCAGACTTTCCTTCTGTACACTGAAAACTCCTGTAAGGAATGATTTAGAGAATGTGGGGTTCCTGTTCCTTGGTCACTTAAGAGTTTATGGAAAATTTCCTGGATTACCTGAGACAATGCTGCTCTCAAAAGAGACATGGCCTGTACGTGCAGCAGGCCCCTTTTCAGGGAAACGTTCTTTTGCAGGAAGAAGTATCCAAGAGTGAAAACAAATTTGAAGGGGACGATGACAGAGTGTATCTGGATCTCACCCCAGTGAAATCATTCCTACACTGTGCTGGCAAGAAGTCATGCCAGCCTTCGCCTCTAAGTTCTCCATCTTTGGAAAGGGCTGACAACAAGGGCTCAGCAGATCCTGTAACTGAAACAGCTCTTGTAACTAAGGAAGCTGAACCCTCTAGAAAGACAGTGGAAACCTCAGAGCAGGTACCGTCCTGAACTGTGGTCCAGGGCCAGGCTTCATCAGCAGGCCAATTTCCCCTGCCACATCATGCCGTCTCATTTCCCCTTCTCTTCTGCCCGCAGAAATACCCAGAGAAGCTGGAGCCTGAAGAGCTGCCACCAAGGACATCCACCATCAAAATCCAGACCCAGCAGCAGAAGATTGCCTTTCCGCAGACAGCCCCTGAGATCACCGCCTGCACCACAGTGGTGGGCAGCCCACAGCTGATGCCTGCACACAGGGATAGGCTGGAGCGACCCAAGCTGGCGCTGCCCAGTGAGTTCATGGGGAATCCCACCATGTGTCAGGCTGGGGGGAGCACGGCCTCCCCAGCTGCAGGCTTGAACGTGCTAAATGTCCCTGTGGCCGGTGGGGGTTCCTCTGCAGATGTGCAATGGCAGGAGCTGGCAGGTGACGGCTGCAGGGCACTTTGGTCACCTATTTTAGCCCAGGTCAGTCCTTTCCCTCCAAAGTGAGCAAAGTGGTGACTTCAGCTGCAGCTGGGATGTGCCAAAACATGGTGAGGAGCTGGAGCTGGTGTGAGCTTTGCCCTTGGAGTTTGAGCTGTGTTTGCACTAGACTAGCTTTACTATGCTAAAGCTAAAGTAGCCTGATGAGTTTTCTGGCTCATTATTTTCCTGAGCGTCACTAGTTTTGATTCTAAGCACCTGAAAACACTTTCCTCTCAGATTGTTCCATGGCTAAGCTTGTTTTTGTGGATTGTGTTTGCAGCAGCAGCAGTGGAAACCAAGCTAGGCAAGAACAGGACAGAGGCTGAGGTGAAGCGATTTACAGAGGAGAAGGAGCGGCTGGAGAAAGAGAAGGATGAAATCCGGGCTCAGCTCACCCAGCTGCGGAAGGAGAGGCGGGAGCTGAAGGAAGTGTTAGCTGGTTGCACAGGTAGAGCTGGGCAAAAGGTGAAGGGTTGAAATGAGTCAAGGTGGGACTAATGGGAATGGTGAATGGCAGCTTTTTCAGGAGGGAGGGTGATGAACTTGGCCAGCCTGGAAATAGAAGGGTGTTTTGCAGCTCTGGCACCATATGCAGGACCACAGGCACATTAACACTGGCCAAGCTGCCGGAGAAATCAGTGCTGAAAAGGCTTTGAACCTAGACCTAGAACCACCCTGAGCCTCAGTTCTTGTTCCATAAAATGGGAGGGACAGGCCTACCCTGCGCCATTTCAGCTGCGATAGCGTGGCTTGCCTATGCCCCATGGCAAGACGTGGTGCTCTGAGCCGAAACATGTAACCCAGACTGCACTAGAGCTTGCTCTGTCCTAGGCATTGCTAATGTGCTTTGGCCTCTCACTGTGGCCTCTAATGAGGAGGAAATAGCCCAATATTATGGGTCAGTGTTATGTATACTCAAGTTTTAGGCATTTGTATCACATATGTCTCATCTCTGGCACAGTCCCTCTTGGGACAAGTTATAAGATAAACCTATGTGGCAGTAATATATGCTGTTCTTCTTGCTCCTTCCTCCCCTTCATAAGCTTCCTCAAGTCCCTTGTCTCCCCACGGCTGCCCCAGTGACTCGCACTGCTGTCTGCTGAGGAGCTGCTGTGCAGAGCTCCCACCTCTGCCTGGGTGCTCACTGCTGGCTCCTGTGCCAGACGCCCAGGAACCTGCCCAGCCGTGGCTCAGCGGGAGCAAGGTACTGAGTTATTCCTGCCTTTGCAGATAAGAGCCTTGAGCAGAGGCTGAAGGAGATAGAAGAAGAGTGTAAAAAGAAGGAGAGCAGGAGGGTCGACTTGGAGCTGAGCCTGGTGGAAGTGAAGGAGAACCTGAAGAAAGCAGAGTCTGGCCCTGTGACGCTGGGCACTGCTGTGGACACCACACACCTGGAGAACACAGCCCCCAAGGTCTGTGGAGGGCATCCCACTGGGATCCAGCCTGCCCTGGGCAGCTGGTCTTCACAGCAGCTTCCCTGCAGAGCCAGGGGTTTGCACCTCACCTTCAGAGCCTGCTACCCCAGAACCTGAAGAGACAAGATAAACAGCCATGATACGGGAGCTGAAAGGTGGCTGGGTCTCAGGAGATCAAGCTGTATTTATTTCTCTGTTGGACTTTGAGCAATATGCTCAAAGGTCATGCAGTTCTGGGCCCAGCTCCTTCTAGGGGGGGTAGGAGCCCTGCTGACCAAGGGGGTAGTTTTCTCAGGGAGATTTAGGCATCTAAATTCCTTTCTGAGGATTTCATTCCTGTAAAACAGAAATATAAGCCTTTCTCTTATAGAATAAGCAGAAAGTATGCCTGTATTGAAGACTGAAAGGCCTTCTGAGACACTAGAATAATGTGGGAAAGATGGCCAACTGCAGCTCACCTCTTCCTGAAGCCCTTCTCTGTACTTCAGCTTAAGTTCCTCAAAACCCAAATACACTATAAATGTTACATCGTGATGTTGTTTCACATTTGCATTTCACTGAAAAATGCCTCTCAGTACAAGTGGGCTGTGGCTATAACTGTTGAGCTGTTTTTGAGGAGATGGTGATGAAATCAGCAATCTTTGTAGTCTAAAATCATCACAATTTCTATTATTTTTATTGTAGATTCAGGCAAAAACCACCAGTCCGGCAAATAGTGCAGAGAACTCGCCAGTCAATTCAGCGACAGCTTTAAAAAACAGGCCTTTATCTGTCATGGTAACAGGAAAGGGGACAGTTCTACAGAAAGCTAAGGTAACGCACCATTTTATACAGGATAAAAAATCAATCTTGGCTGGCTGCTGCTTTTCTGTCACGGTGGTTCCACAGACTGGCCATGGCACTGCAGGCTGGGGAGGTCTCATGTCGTCTCTCAGTCTGGGAAGGAGCCATAACCACCAGTCTTTACTGCTGGTCCTGTAGCTCAAAGCAGGTCAGCCTCAGTAGGTCTTTTCACCTGGGCTTGACCTGGCTGCAGTTTAAATTAAGAACTGTAAATGTTCTCCTATAGCATGGAGCTACGCCATGCTGACCTGTGTTGAAAGCAGCTGGAGTAAAATAGAGGTTTAATTTCACTGAAACAGTGGTGAAGTACTTTTCATGTTTAATTACAAGGAAGCTCAGCCCAGTGGCAGCCACGGCAGGGATCTCCTTATTCACCTGGGAGAATAACTCAGCCTTTCTCAGCCTTTGTTGCTATTCCTACCAACATAAGCCAAAGCTACGCACCAACCTTAGTCCCTCAAGGAAGCAGCAGCACTGTAACAAGGGTTTTATTCACTATAGTTTTTATTTCTGAAAATCTGACTGATATCTCAGTACACCCTGTTTTCAGAGGCTGGCTGTGGATGACTTTCTAACTCTGGAGGCGATCTCCTCCTGAGTACCCCAGAAGGGCACTGAGAGACACAAATTACTCACGCACAAGAGGTGTGCAGGAAGACTGCTTCCACTCAGCCTGTAAAATGCCTAGCCTGCTTTAGGGCTCCTTCTCTTCCCCAAGAGACAGCAGCTCAGCATGGGCAGAAAGAACAAATCATCCTTCTCTGCTTCGAACTTTATTCTCATTATTATGTTATTATGGTCAGTCTTTGTAATGAACTAAGGAAGCTTATTGAGCTTTTCTCAATCTCTCCTTCAAGTGTCTCACACGAACTCCCAGCCCACCTCATGGCTTCTGCCTGCTTGCCTGGTCCTTCATTGGCAGTGCCACGGCTGTCTGGAGAATAAGCTCTATGACGAAAGTATTGCTTATGACGGGGGGAGAGATCCCTGACCCACCTTGCCCTGAATAGTGGCTCAGGGAGTCCCAAACCGCTCCAGTTAGTGGATGTCATGAACTGATTTGATGCACGTTAAAGCTACTGCTGCTTGACAGCTTTGCCTTTTGACTAATTTATCTTTGTTCTTTGGCAGGAATGGGAGAAAAAAGGAGCTAGTTAGAACTACATTTTTCAACAGTGGACTAAAGACTGGAATTGCCTATGCATAGACGAGAGAATTCAATCATCTGGAGATAGAGGTTGGGTGTGAAACACAGTCGCACACCTAGCACCTCCTCCACGTCATGCCAACTGCTCAGATGCAACAGTGGAGCTAACAGCTGCCGATACAAATGATCAATCAAGTGATCTTTCTCTTCCCAGACAAGTCCCATCATGTAGCTAAAAGAATAACAACCAGTGGCAATCTTTGCATCAAATTTCTAACCCAGTTGATGTAAACAAGAATGTTACTGTACATAGGGATGTTTTGTGTATTTCTACTCTGAAGATTTATCAATGAGTTATTAAGGTTTCTATATTAGTGACAGTAGTGGATTCAGAACAGGCCTCTGCTATTCTTTATACCCCAGTGGTTTTCAATCTGTCATAGTAAATTACAATCAAATAAAATCTCACCTGTCTTGCTGCTGGTCATTATACAGCTGCAGATGATCCAGCCTTCAATCAAGGGCAGGAAGGAGAGAAACCCAGACTGGAGCAATGGTTGAAACACAAATGAGAAGCACACAGCAACATGTCCAGTGGGGAGACTCCTCTCAATTAACAGTGGGGAACTATATGTACAGATGAAGCAGGGATTTGTGTTCAGTGACCACATGCTTCATACCATGTGCTTATTCCTACAAGGCTGCCAGCCTGCTGCAGGGTTTGATTTGCCAGAATATCAAGGAAGATCCTCGCTCACTTTCTTGCGCTGTAAGATGAGTTACAGTCTGCTGGCACTTAAGAGCTCTGGATAAAGGAAGATCCAAACAGATGCAGTTAATTTTCTTGAAGATACTCAGCTACTTCACCTGAGGAATTTATTCTGAAAAATCACATTTGAAGGCTTGTTAATAAATGGTCAAAGGCCTAGGCCTGCCCACCTTTCAGATGAGGAAGCTGCATCCCAATATACTCTTCTGGGCTAACTCTTTCCAAGGAGAGGAAAAATAAAGCTGTCCCCAGGATGCGAACACTGCTTTGCTGATGCTGACCTCTGTTCCCCCGCAGAGCCCTGGCAGGGCATGGCACTCTTTCATGCACGCTAGCACACTGCTCTGTGCACCTGGAAGCCTCAAGGATCCCAGTGTGATTTCCTGTTGTCACAGGCACCATCAGGAGGGCTCATGGCCCTGTACAGTCTGCTGAACGCGTCCAGTGTGAAAGAGGCCCTCCGGAAGCAGCAGGCCGGCCAAGGGCTGGGCTCAGACGGGTGCAGGACCTGCTCTCCCCAGGGACTGGCAGGGGGGGTTTCC